CTGTTTTCATGAACACCTGGGCACACTCTCCCTGTTTGCCTCCCTTAGACCCTAAGTTTGTAGAACTTGGGGCTGAGAACCCCCAGCGAATTTGCTTGCCCTCCACTAGCCACGCCCCCAGTAGCTGGTGCAAGAGACCTCAGTTGTCAGCACTGGTAGGAGCGGCAGCCGGGAGTCCCGCGCCACTCCTGCTTCCCTCGGTCTGGCTATCGCGCTCATGGGAGAGCTGGGAGGGGCCCTTAAGGTTTCCCCGCTGTGTGGAGAGGAATGGCTAGGGGATTACACACCTGTCACCGCTGGTTTCAGTGAAGTTATCTCCTCTGCTGGTGACGTCAGTTCTCTGCCATGGTGGTATCCCATGCAAATGGTGACCGTTCGTTCCCTTTGCCAGGTGACCAATGCAACGGGTGGATCCTCACTGTCTCTCCAAAGCCCCGTTTCAATCCTGTGGCCACTGCCTATGAAGGCTCSGTTGGCTTTTACCTCCGTAAGTTCAGAAAGGGCCGACCAGTTATTTCAGCTGGATCGTTAGTGCTGAGTCAAGAGAAGTAGGCGAACCGGAGCTTGAATGCAGCCGATCCGGGCTCGGTGTGTGTTCTGAGAGGCCCAAACTGTTTGCCCCAGATCCACGTCAGCTCAGCATTGCCTAGTGATCCTGAGAAAACAACATTTAGACAGTTTACGACTCCCTATGCCCGCGCAGCCGAAGAGGTCAGAGACTTGATCTCTCCACGCCCGCCGCCATGTTGGATCTCCCTGTTGTTCTGTATTTTGAGTTTTGTTTTGGAATAGATTTTTAAAAGAAGGCAGCTTAATATGTAAGATATTTTGAAAAAAAATGTGATGTGAAGTATAGGTTTATACAGGGGAGGAGGATGCAATGGTTTATGTATGTATGGAGCAATAGGAAGTAAAAATCCCTCTCTCTTGGCATCTGTTAGTTTAGTACATTTAATTTCTGGCACTGCTAAACATTGATCAAGCAATACTTTAGTTTAAGAGTTTCCAACTATATAGAATTGAGTAAATCTGGAGAACCACATTCTAATGCATATAAAATATATTTTGTTCATTTTAAAAAATGTCAATAAATTTTGTTTTAGATCTTAAAAGCATGCATTCATACATTCTTCTATTTACTCATTTTTATTTTAAAAACTGTTTGTAGTATGAATATATAACAACAAATCCCACCATTATGTACAAGTGCAGTGCACCAATAAGAAATGTGGGGACAAAAACCTATTTTTAGACAGGCATGGTGGTGCATGCCTATGATCCCAGTGGCTTGGAAGGCTGAGGCAGGAGGATCATGAGGCCAAAGCTAGCCTCAGCAGCAGTGAGGCACTAAACATTTCAGTGAGACCCTGTCTCTAAATAAAATACAATATTTTGGCTGGGAATGTGGCTCAGTGGTTGAGTGTCCCTGAGTTCAATCCCCAGTAACTCCCTACCAAAACACAAAACCAAAACAAAAAACCCTATTTTTAGTTTCTGTTATATCCCAGTCACTGTATTAGATGACAAGTTTCTAAAGGAAATGAAACAAATGAGCTGTAGAGATATGTCCAGAGGATTAAATTGTGTGATAAAAACACCACATAAAGCAAACCAAGGTGCTAAAAGGGCATGTACAAGGAATATCTGATCCCCTTTTGAGGGTGGGTGGGGGTGTGGGAAGGGTTTTTTTTGTGTGTGTGAAACTAAACTTAAGAAATAACATAAAAATGCTACAATTATTCTAATAACATTTAAAATATATTCTGTGTTTTAGTGCTGCAATAGTATATTCCACACTTAAACTTCTGCAAGATTCAAAACTTTTTAAAAAGAATGTAACGAAAGATGATGCAGAGAAGCCCCTTTCTCCAGGCACTTCTGTATGTATGAATATTACACTTCTCCTTATAATACTTACTGCATAATGACTATTGGCATGCTAGGAGATTGTCTAATTATTTGGGTGAAGCCAAGGAGTAAAGTACAAAAAGAACACTGAATTCAGAATAAAAATACCTGAGTTTAGGTCCCATTTATTGTACTTATTCACAGGAATACCTTGAGAAAATCTCTTAAAATTTGAGAATTTTTGTAGTTTTATTTACGAAGGGATGGAATTGGATATAATAGTCTCTAAAGTTCCATCAAGATAGATCGTTGTAATGTTTAGATATGCTCTTACTACACATAAAGTTGTCTTACGAGACTTACTGTCTGTTCTGCTTTTGAGTTTATTATCTGGGCATGACCAGTAAAATACCTGTACTTTTTCTTCCTTTGGATTCCTCATAGCGTACTCCATATTTTAGATTTCCAATGTATTTGAGAACTGTGCATAAATTCTATGATTAGACTTTGATAAGAGCATATAATTTAACAATATAGGGTTGATTAGGATTAAAATATTAAGATTCATTACATGGAATTCTTGCACATTATTTCAAGAATTACTAATAAAATAGCTAATATGCAGCATCATTACAAATTAGCAAAGCTAATTATACTAAATAAAGACTCATTTCTAGCTATATTAAAAGCACTAACCATATTAAAAAGCAATCTAATTCTAAAAATTGTCTTAGAACAATGGTTATCAACTGGAGGTGATTTTACATCCCAGGGGAGAGTTGGCAATGCATGGAGACATTTTGGTTGTCACAACTAGAGGGGGGGTGCTATGGGCATCAGTTGGGTAGAGGCCAGACATGCTGCTTAAATATCCTATAATGTACAGGAGAGCCCCCTGCCACCCCAGCAATTATCTGGCTTCAAATATCAAAGCATCAAGATTGAAAAACCTTGATTAAGTTGAAGGAGAATTGGCTTTTCATTAGGAACATGAAATAAAAGCACTTAAAGATTAAGTTTTATTGATGAACATTGTTTTCTGTATTTCTCTTCTAAATACTAGATTTTTTGAGTACTTGGCCCATTCTAATCACCATCCTGCCTGCGTGGCCTCTGTTCACCGCTTACTCTTGTTCTCAGGAATAACTCACCTTTCTTTTCCTGTACATCCCACCTGACTGTCCATATTCTAGCCCCCTTCAAGTCCCATTAGCAGCTTCCCGATAGCCAGTAGTGCCAATTGGTTGGACACGATCCCTGGCAGGAAATTCTAGAACAAAGGACTGGGGGGTTAAATTTCCCTGATAGTCTATGATTGACTTCCCCCAAAACAAGCTTCCTCTGCGCTTCCTTCCCAGTAGCTATGGGCACCCATCACCTCTTTTAAAGTATAATAACACAGATGGTAAATCAGTTATAATACATTCTTGGAATGAGAGCCACACAAAGCAATGCAACACAGACGGTTAAGACTGGATTTGAAACCCAGGAAAACACACAGTGAGTTGAGTCCTACCAGCATTGAGTCCCACCTAGGTTAAGCAAGTTAGTTAACCTTTCTAGCTCTCCGTTCTCCCAACTGTAAAACAGAAATAGCAATAACCCCTCTTTGGCTGTTAGAAAAATTAAATAAGATATTGTGTATAAAGCATGTAGCACAATGCCTGACACATAATAAGTGCTCAATAAATATTAGGGAATGTTTATTTATTATTTTTCAGCCCTTAAAATGGTGTTTAAAAAACTTTTGATGACATAGAAACTGCTGACAATATAATTTTTATATTTTATAGATATACAAAATAATTTCTAAATTTAAAAACTGAATACTATGAAATGATATTGGATGCTTAGCTTACATTTGGCCTTAGGTTAGAACTTCATCTTTATGAAATGAGAAGATAACCATTATTTTAATATTGTTTAGACCTCAGAAAATAAAGATGATGAGTTTTTGGACCCTGTTTCCCTGAATGCTCGAGAATATTTCAACATTCATCTGTGGTTGAGGTGCCGCTTAGCACTGGTGACTGCTTTTGTCTCACAAATTCGAGGCATTGGAATTGTGAAAGGTACTAATGTACTATTTTCTTAATCAATGTTTCCACAAAATGTAATTTTATACAGATGAAGGAGCAGTAATATATTGGGATATCTTTTGCTATAACATTCACTTTTTTTTTTTTTTTGTACCAGGGATTGAACCCAGGGTCACTTAACCACTGAACCACATCCCTAGTACTTTTTATTTTGAGTAAGCATCTTGCTAAATTTTGCTGAGGGCCTTGCTGAATTGTGGAGCCTGGCCTGGTACTTTTGATCCTCCTGCCTCAGCCTCCGGAGTTGCTGGGATTAAAGGCATGTGCCACCTTGCTGATATATATAGCATTTTCTAACTTTCTAGCTTGATCTCTTTCCAGAATTTAAAAATCTGGTATTAATTTAAAATAATATTTTCCAATATTATGGCATATATATTACCACAGTGCAAAACAGCAGAGAGATTTGTCATCTTGGAAAGTGGCTAAGTACAGGGGTGAGGAACACCAGTCTAGGAGCCATCAAATTTGGGTTCAGATGCTAGATCTACCACTTCCTCACCAAGTCTTTCTCAGCCAACTCTTTCAGTCTTTGTGTGCCTCAGTGTCCTGCTCTGTAAAATGAAGATAATTATATCCACTTCATACGAGTGTCAGAATTAAATGGGCTAAATTTAATCTTAGATAATATAGCCTGGCACATATAAATGGTAGTACTTGCAGTGAGTAATAATTATCTATTTGTATACCTCTCTATTCACTCATGTCTCTCTCTCAAGTTTAAGTTATTTCATGTAATATTATTGTTACTTCATAGAACTGGAATATCCTAAAGTACTTTGCCCCAAATTACACCAATTTTTTTTCTGCATTTCCTGTAGAGTCTGTTTTCCATCTTAATATCCTCTTGTTCTTTGACCTTATGCAATATTACTGTGATGAGCATTGCAGATGTTATACATATATGCTTTCTTATTTTCTCACTGCATTTTAAATAGCCACACTTATTTATCTTAGAGAACGATTTGACAGATTGTTTGAGCCTCATCCGTGAATTATACGTGGAAGCAAAAAGTGCAGAGGACTTAGAACTACAGGCTGAATTCTTGATGCAAGCTGTAATCCTTGGCCTGCAAGAAAAGCATTTAAAGGCAGACATCATCACAGACCTTCAGGTAAGAAGAAAACCTTGTGCATATTTATATTTAGGAAGGATTCCAGTTAGAATAAAAGGAGAGAATTTTAAATTCCATTAGGTACTGAATGCATACCAAGCAACAGGGCCAGTTCTGTTTAGGTGAATTAGAAAAAGTACTAGCAAATGGAATATTTTTATTTTAATAGGATATAATACATTTGCTTGAAGGAAAAGAATTTCTTTCTCCTCGATCTTTGTTAACTCTGGCGAAAAGCCTTGTTCTACTGGATGACTTAACAAAAGCTGAGAAATTCAAGGAATCTCCCTATTCAAAATCAGACAAGTTACAATTTTTGACCCAGGCTCACAACATTATTATTGAACAGGTGAGAATGTTTGTGTGTCCCACAAGATGTAGAAGTTTACCTTTTGTCTTTTTTTCTTATTCCAAACTACATTAACTAATTGTTCATTATAATATTTCTTTCATAGATGCTAACTTTTGGGGAAACAATTGACTTGCATTTATCAAACACTGAATATAAAAATCTATTACAACCTTTGAAAAATATCTATCTTCCTCATGTTATGTTACTGGCCAAAATAAAAATGAGAATTGGTAAGAACATTTAAATATATAMATGTTTAAATCTGAATGTTTGTGAGTATTGTGTGTAACAGATATAACATTTCAAGTTATTTTCAGGTAAGCTATCATATGAGTGCATTTAAAAGGAGTAGTGTTTATGAACACTCTGGCTTCATTTATTTAACAATTTTGATCACTTACCACATGTCAGACTCAGTGATGTATTTAATCTTTATATATGATTAGAGTATGAAGGTGATTACAGTAATTATAACATGCCTAACTAATTGCTTTGGACTATTGCATTTTATCTAGTTAATCAATCATTTGGATTGAAATTATACCCATGTAGTCTACTTTAGAATTACTATGTATTTCAGAATATTTATTTTGAAAAATCATACAAACAGAAAATACAAAACACATTTCTTCAATAACACTATTTTTGTTAGTGTAAAATATGTAAATATGTAATATGTAAAATGCATTATGTCTTTTAGGATGCTTTTAAGTAGCTCTATCTTTAAAAATGCTTAACAAATGTCAATGAACTAAGAAAACAGCTTTAACAAATATATTAACGAAGGTGATATTCCTCTTCTCTGAGCTCTGATAACTTGTTTGTAAAATTTTAGGAAATGAACTTATGCCTTATAAATTTGGGAATTGTCAAAAGTCTTCTTATTTTTATTAAAATAATGATAATAATAAGGTGTCTTGAAGGCACAGCATCTATGTCTCTTCATAATACATTAGCTGGCACCTCAGATAGTAGATTTGCTGATAACAGTATTCTAAATGCCAGGTGGGTGGTATGGTTTCCAGTTATCTGCATGCTGAGCCTGTTGGGAGACACTCCGCTCGGTGTGGTCATAGCTGCCACCTCCTTCTGCCTCACTCCTGTGCCAGGGGAGCAGCTTCCCTCTTCTCAAAACCTCTTGACTTTGCTCAGCTCCCCAGCTCCTCTATCCTTCCCGGGGTCCTGCTCCAGCATTTTTAACCCTCTCTTACGTCTTCCACTGTCCTTACTCACTGTGTCCTTTTCTCACACTATAGATTTGTAAATATGTTCTACTCTTACATTAATTTAAAAAAGAAAACAACAACAAGTACAGTAACGGTTACAAATCTACCCTAAGTCTCTCTCTCCCTCCAACATCCACTGCCAGCTGGACTCCTCAAGAATGAATTCTGTTTCCTCCTTCCCCTTTCCTCACCTCCCATTCGCTCTTTATCTCACTCCATTCTCGATCCAGACCAGAAAACCCACACTTGATGAGGCCACAGAGAGTTAAATCAGTCATAACTCCAAGGTGTGATTTTCTGACCTTGCCCCTATGGACGGAGGAGCATTTGATACTGCCTGCTGACATGGCTCACAACTTCCTGAAACTGCTATCCTAACCATTAGGCACTGCCCTGGGCCAGTTTTTCTCCTCCCTCTCTGATCCCTTCATTACCTTTGTAAGTTCTGTTTACATAGTTTCTCCCTTTAAATAAACACTCTCCATTTATTTTTGTTTCAAGGACTCCTTATGATGTGGTCCTGGGCTACCTGTTCACCTCTTCAACACTCTAGTCGCACCGCACCACTCCAGGCGTATGCTTGCTTTAGACCTTTGCACTAGCTATTGTCTCCATTTGGAACAGTCTTCCCCAGAAACTCCACTCTCATGTCCTTCTGTGGCTCTTGCACACATGTAGATACATTTCATTTAACTCTGTGTATCCTTCAGAACTCCTCTAAGCATTGCATCCTCTGGAAATCTTTTCCTGACCCTCAAGACTGGGTTATGGGTCTCACTTCCCTGCTAATTGGCTATTCTTATTGTAGCACTCATCAGATTGGTTATTGAGGCCAGTGTCCTTGCTTGAAGACTCCATTTTATTGTAAACTTGTGTTAGCCTTTCATCACTGTGACCAAAGTACCTGATAAGAACAACTTAGAAGAGGAAAAGTTTATTTTAGGATTATTAATTTATTCTAGCTTTCCAAAGTTCATTCCCCGGTCAGCCAGGTTCCATGGCTCTGGACCCAAGGTGAGGCAGAGCATCATGACAGAAGGGCATGGTGGAAGAAAGCTACTCAGCTCATGGTAGCCAGGGAGCAGAGAGAGGAGAGATGAAAAGGGAAGGGGTGGCTGGGCAGATGAACCCTTCTAGGACATGTCCCCTGTGACCCACTTCCCCCAGCCATGCTCCAACTGCCTATAGTTACCACCCAAACAGTTCAAACTAGGAAGAACTGATTATATTACAGCTCTCAAAATCTAATCATTCACCTCTGAATATTCCCACATTAACACAGGAGCTTTAGGGGACACCTCATATTCAAACTATAACAAGACTTCTTAAGGCGACAGTTTTGTTTTGTCCTCCTGATAGCACAGTGCCTGAAATCAATCAATCAAACAACTAATCGATCAATAATGGTGCTTTTGGACTTATTTCCTCTAGGGGACTACTGTGCAATCACTAATAAAGAATTTGCAGAAATTTTTATACGATGGAAAGATGTTTACTACATTGAAAAAATGTACAAAAACAAAAGTACAAAATGCATTTCATGTCATGATACCACAGGAAGACAATGACAAAAAAGATTTACACCAATAAACCTTTCATTGGCTAGTGTGATTATAGATAATGTTTATTTTCTTCTTTTTGCTTAACTCTCCTCTTTAAATCTTCCACAAGGAACACATATAACTTTTGTGACAGAAAAAGATTGTCCAGGAAGTATTCATTGGTGAAGATAAAAACCTAATAAAAATCAAGCCTTTAGCATCTAGCACCATTTTTCACACATAGTAGAATATTAGAGCCTTTTCAAATATTTAAAGAAAATAAATTAGTGAAGAGTGATGCAAAATGAAGGTTAACAGAAACAGAAAAGCACAGGTGGAGAGTGCAGAGCAAGCTGGCTAGATGAGGGTTTGGAATCTGGAGGGCTTAGCTTGGATTTTGTCATTACTCCTTAGTTGTCTGATCTTACAACTTATTTAAGCTCTTGGACACCAGTGTCTTATCTGTGAAGTGGGAACAGGGCCATTTACCCTACATATTTGAAGTAAATGAGATAAAGTATTAAATAGTGCCTGGCATAGAGCAGTCATGCAGTAAAAGATATTACTGTTGTTATTATTCTTTACGTTTTAATTTATCTTTTCTACTTACTTGACTGCAGTTTCCTTATCTGTCAGTTTGATCAAGTGGTTTTCATCATTTCCTTTCTTTCTATTATTACTTTAGACCTCTTTTGTACTTTTCTTTTCCCAGTCCTCAGACTCAAGCCTGTGGGTCCCTCTATCTTACCCAGCTCTGGCTGCCTCCAGCCTCTGGGGACTCTGACCTGCTTCCCTCCAGGCCCATCCCCATCTTGGTGGGATCTTAGGGTGAATGCTATGTCCCTCCTTTAATCTCACCTTCTAGAGAAGATCGATAGAAAATTTTCTCCTTCTTTCCCACTCTCTACAACTCCTAGATTTTACTGAGATGGTTTAGTGCCTTTTGATGCCAATAACTTTATTTTTTTCCCTTTGAACTGTTTCTTTTTAATAATAATATCCATGTTAGTCATCCGACCGTTGGGCAAGTGCTGCTGCTTCTCCCTTCCACCTCGTCTTCATTCATCTTCTCTTCCAGCCTGTGTCCTGCTTCATGGATTGTTCATTGAATCTTTCTATTCTCTAATTCTTTCCCCCAATGGGATAACCAGCTGCTATACTCTCTGAATTCTGGTTCTCGGCAAAGGCTCTTCTGTGCTCTGACAGGTGAATGATGTGCTGTCTCAGCTCAGTGTCAGAATCTTGGGGTATGGCCTTTTCTCTAAGATTTGATGGATGTTATTCCACCATTTCTAGCTTCAAATGTTGCAAATGAGAACTGCAATGTCAGTCTAATTTTTCTTTTCGTTTGGTAAGAAATTTGCTCTTTCTGTCAAAAAACTTGTAAGATTTTCCCTTTCTCATAGTTCTGGAAATTTACCAGCACATGTCTGAGTATATGGATCTTCCTTCTCTGCCCTAGAGCACAGTGAGCCCTTTCAATCTGCAGGAAAGTCTCTTTCAAGCTCTGGGAAATTTTCTTCTTGCTTAATCACTGCATAGGCAAGTTCTCTGTTCAAAGTTTCTTCTTCAGCTACTATTGAGAGCTGGAGCCAGCCTGCTTAGGTAAAAATCTCCAGCATGTGATTTCTTCTCCTTAGTCTTCTTATTTTTAAAATAGGGAATGTCTTGGTCAATTAAAGTTGTTATAACAAAATACCCTAGACTGGGAAATTTATAAATAAGAGAAATTTATTGCTCACCATTCTGAAGGCTAGAAATCTAAGATTAAGAATTGGGAGCTGATGAGGGCTTTCTCTGCTTTATAAATGGTGCCTTTTATTGGTCCTTACATTGTAAAAGGGGCAAACAGCTTTCCTGAAGCCCCTTTTTATAAGGGCATTAATTCCTTTCACGAGGGTTCCATTTTTACAACTTAACTACCTGCTGAAGTCCTGACTTCTTAATACCATCATTGTGGGAATTAGGTTTCAACATATGAATGGGGAACACAAACATTCAGATCATAGCAGGGAACAATAATGGCTCTATTGCATAGGTGACTAAATAAGAAAGATGCCTACCCCAGTACCTAGACCATAGTAGGCACTACTGAGTGTTGAATATTAATATTTGTATGTCGAGTTTAGATCTGTCTTCCAAGTCTATCATCTTGCAGAATTTCTGTTTATTTATACCATCATGATATGAGCTACTTATACCATCATGATATAAGCATCATGATTATTTAAGATTATTTTCCCATAAATTAACTTGAGTTTTCTTATGAGATGAAAAAGTGGATTACTTGTTGTAAGTAGCAAATAAAAGTCACTTAAATTTCTATCTGATCTTCTGTATCATTAACTGAGATTTCATCAATGACTGTCTTTTCAAAATCATCTGATACCTTTATATCTCTACAAATGCTGTATTTTTTTTCTTGCTTTAACTTTTCATCCTATTTACAATCAATTTTATTTCACTGACTGAATCTTTCTATTCTCTAATGCTTTTCTGGTGGTTATATTTGTTCTTCCTCTTGCTGGCTGCTGGTTATCTTTTTTGCTTGGATGTCTTATTTTGTCTACTTAATTGTGGTCGAGGTCCAGCTAGTGGATTAACTTCAGCAGGGGTAATGCTGCAGATCGCCATCAAAATAGCTAGTTCTTCCTCTACCAGCCTCCAGAGTGTAATTCCCTCCTGAGGCACCAGGAGGGTGCTCAGGAGTGGGGAGCACTTAGGTCACTGTCAGGTCCCTCAGAGTTCCTGGGAAAGCCAAGAAGGCAGCCATTCAGAGCTGGCCTTCTCTGGATCTCTCAGACATTGTCTCAAGCTCTCTCCAGGATGCTGTCTCTGATTTGTGCCTCTGTTTCACAGCATTTGTCTAGTACAGAATGCACAAAATTGGGCGCCAACTCTGCCTGTTCTCGCCATCGCCTTCTAGGACCCATCTGCCTCCTGCACCAGCAGCTGCTTGGTCAGGAGAGGTCAAGGGATGGTTGGATTAGATAGTGAAAGGGAGGCCAGTAAGGGTACACTCACGCAATCATCTGTTCAGAACCTTCCCACTCTCTCCCTTTCATGATCAATATTGATCATTATTATGATGATTATCAGATATGAATTTAATTATCTAATGCAAATTACTTTATTTTATTAAAAGTCTTCATTTATGAAGCTAGCTTGATTTAGTTGGACTCTCAAATTCCTTCCAGTTCAAAGATCCAATGAGACCTATTTTTATGCCTTTCTAATCTGCAAATTTGTTATATTATCAGGAAATTTGATTTCCACATGAGCTTTAAGTACAGATTGTGTAAAATCAAATGTATTTTCTACTTTTCTGACTTACTAATCTTGAAGATGTGTCACCACTCAATGACAATACTGTTGCTGCTTTTTAGATTCATTTGAAGCTGAACAGCTTGCTTTCTGGTATATTATATTAAATACAGACTTTAAAAACAAAACCAAAAGCAGACTTTCTGTCAAAACAATGTTAGTTTCACAACTTCTTTTTCACAGAGTTGATGTTTACTGGAAAAAGGAACACTTCAATATTATGAGGCACAAAATCATCTGAGACTTGCTTTCTTGACAGTTATTCTTTATAATATAGATTGCATCACAAGAATAAAGCCACTTAAATTTTTTTTTCTTTCTGAAAATGGAAAATAACATTTTGAGTTTATTTTTAGAAAACAAGAATAAGCATCATGATTATTTAAGATTATTTTCCCATTAATTACCTTAACTTGAGCTTTCTTTGAGATGAAAAAGTGGATTACTTGTTTAAGTAGCAAATAAAAGTCACTTAAATTTCATTGTTTCAATCCACCACCATTTGCTGAGGACCACTTATGTGCAAGAATAATACTGGGGAGTGGTGATGTAATTGGGAACCAGTTGCCATCTCTGCCTTCAAAGAACCTATTATTTAGCTGGTAAGGAGAGAGAAAATCAATAATTTCTAAATAACTAAATAATAGGCTCTTTGAAGGCAGAGATGGCAACTGGTTCTCTAAAAGAGAATGAAGTATCGTTGTATATCAATACTCTGCACCATCCTGCCTGGTCCAGAGTAAGGGCTTAGTAACTTCTCTTTAGGGGGTGTAAGGAAAAAGGAATTTTTCTTCCATCTTGCCATCCATATAGCATATTCCCTGAACTAAAAATTTACAAAAAGTACTATTCTTTTTTTGAAAAAGAACTTTTTGGCTTCTTGGAATCGAAAAAATTTCAAACCCAACAGGATCGAAGGTATTTTCTAGTTCTGTTACCTCACTGTTTCTGAGAAAGACACTTAAGACCCAGAGGCATGGAGGTTCAAAGCCTCAAATGACATGGTAGCTCCAGTGACTGGCCAGGACCCAGCACTTCAGCTGGAATCAAGCATCTGTACTGTGCATCCTATGCTGCCCTTCTGTTCATGCTCCTTTCTTGTATTTATTCAACTATTCTCCAAAGTAGTACCCCCACCCCGTTTTCTTCTACTCTTTTCCCCAGCCACTTTCTACTCTAAAATTACCAAAAGCAGGGTGCTCATCAGTCATCAGCCTGGACAACTTTCCCCAGTAAGCCAGGGCTCCCTAACCTGCCACCACAGAACCTTGTATTTTCCTTGCCACACACAATTATGGCTCTGCTCTTTACTAGCCACGTGACTGTGGGCAAGTTAAGTATTTTTGAACCACTGCTGTGCCCTCTGTTAAGTTAGTATGATGATGGTCCCTACTCAGAGCTGCAAGGATCATAGGGATAATACAGGCTAAGTACATGAGATGGTACCTGGCATGTGGAAAGCAGTTAATTAACCTTAATCTATTATTCATTTTGATCATTTTAATCTTGTGCTTAAAAATACAGAAAATATTTGCTGCATTAATGTCTGTCTGATTTTGAGGCCACATAGGTTAAAGAAATGTTTGTTCCTTCCACCAACCCTTTATTATGTTAAGTGATGATGGTCCCATATAAGTGTAGCAGGGACACTTGTTGGGATGACAATACATACATACATACATACATACATATATGGCATAGAATAGCAAGCAACCACTGTAATACTTAATAGAAAACCAATATCTAGAAATGTATGCAAATTTTGATGGGAGCAACATAAAACTCCCAGATGTTTCTCTAATAATGACCTCATCTCAGAAATATAAAAGTTGTTTTGTAGAGCATCATGAAATTTTAGAACTAAAAGAGACTTGAGATATCATCTCTCATTTTAAAAACAAGATAATAAGTTGGGGAAAAACAATAATAAGTTGGAAATTTAAGTAAGGTGTAATTATGGCCATTCATTGAAATATTGGGTATTCTTTTTCCTTAAACTATGTCTTRGATCCTAAAAACCATGAAGACCACCAGAGTTGTTAACAAATACCCCATGACTGTGAGAGAAGAATGGTAAGGTGGAGGCTTGCTATGACCACTGTGTATTTTATTGTTTTGCCCCCACCCACTTGTTTTCCTTTTAGGACATACTCTAGCCAAACAGGTATATAACAGTAATAAAAAGAAGGACTCCTCAAAGTGGTTACCTGCCCTTCATCTTTTTGATGTTGCACTGAGGCTCTGTAAGATAACGGCTATGGAGGAAAATGAAGTAGAAGCTGAAATCCTCTTTCAGAAAGGTAAGACATATTTGGGGTCAGAACTATATAAAGTTTGTAAAATATTTTTCTTAACAACAGCATTCTTGACTATAAACTTTACATTTTTTTACCAAGGCCTTGGTAATGTCAAAAGCAACTTGACACCCCTGCCAAACTCAGTTTTAGATAAAAGAGCACTACTTGTTTATTTCTAGAAAGAAARAATTTCTGTTTGGTTTCTTGTATAATTTTAATTGACCCTTCTTATACAGTTTCATGTTTGACTACGAAATATCAGTATCAACTATGTGGCTATAGATAATATTACTTAAATGATTCTTGGAAAATATTTTTCCTATATTATTTTATTACCCAGCTGAACATTTTGTATTAATTTCCATAAGTAAGAGAATTGAAATTAAATAGCTATCACATACCTATACTTACAACTTATATACAATATCAATTTATGTAAAATGCATATAATTTTATTGGGGCCTCTTAAGGAGAAAAACAAAGGGTGATGGTTGCTATAATTTACTGAGCATCTACTAGATGCCAACCATCTAGTAGTATTGTCAATGTTTCACATCTTACATTGCTAATTCTTACAACCTCTATGAGTTAGGCATGTCTAATCCTGGTTGACAAATGAGGAAAACGAGGTATAGTCTGGTTAAGTAAATTTCCCAAAGTTAGCAGCTACTAAATGATAGTGCCCAGATGTGAACTCAGTGCTGGCCAGCTCTGTGCCTTTTCCCCATGAAAAGTGTGACTCTTGCCAATAGTGACTACAAGATCTCCCTGTCCTGCCCTCTTTGCTACAGAGGTGCTCACTTAGGGCCTACATTTGAATGACTGGGATCACCATGAGGGCAATGGGGGTGGGTACTAGAATCATATAGGATTTTCAAGCATTTGAATTTTTAGGATTTTTTTTCCATTAAGCTTGTGATTACTTGGAAAAAAATTAAATTCATTTTTGATTGGCAAAAATATTATGTATATTTTGGAGGTGTTTTGATATATGTACACATGATGGAATGATTAAATCAACTCATTTACATATTCATCACCTCATATACTTATTTTTTGTTGTTGTTATTGTGATAGCATTTAAAGATTTGCTTTCTTCAATTTTCATATATATGATACAGTCTTATTAATTATGGTCACCATGCACAATGTCCCAGGATCACTTGTATGGTTGCATATGACAGAATTTCCTTCTTGTCTGATGGTGAATAGCATTCCATTGTGTATATACACCACACTTTCTCTACCCCTTCATCCATTCAGTGAGGACTCAGGTTTATCCTGTGTGTTGGCTGTTGTGCATAATGCTACTGTGTATCAGAATGCAGCTTTTTACTTCTGTTTTCTATGATATTTTTGAAATAGGGAAAAGGGGAAAGCAGAGAGAGAATGGAAACATGAGATATAGGAGAAGTGAGAAAACTAAGCAAGGAAACAGAAAAATAACATGGTAAGGCCAGTCGTGTTGAAGAAGCCAAAGGCATCTTGAATCGGTATTGCTGACTGAAGATTCTAGAAGCCTGAGACTCTTAGAGAAAGAAGCAACAGGTCTTCCACCACTGGCTTATCATTCAGCAACAAACGACAGATAGACAAGAGAACAGCATATCCAGTTTTGTGAATTTCTATCATGAAATGTTTGTCTTTAAGTTCAAAATGATAGAAAAGGTGGAAAATTTTATTGTTTATCTTTTTCTTCTTCCAGGCAAAATAGAACGTCAAATAATGATGGAAGAGAAATCTCCAACTTTGCAACTTGAGAGTTTATATGAAGCTATACAACTCAGCTTGAAAAATGATCAAAACTCAGGGTAAAAACCTAGCTTTGTTGTAGCAATGTTTGTATTGGTTTGAGCTCCATGTTCCACTAGGACATTTGATATTCAAAATAGGAATGAATGATTGGCCTCTTCATGGCAGGGCTAGTACAGTGGGATCCATCTGTCCTTCAGGTTTACTGACATGATTTTCAAGCATTTTGCCCTTGGCTTTGACCCAAGGCCTCATCAACATTAACAGTAGATGGTGCCCATTGTCATAATGGCCCAGCGAAACTATTTAATCATTTCTACACAAATCTCCTGTCATACTTGGGATGGTGGAAGTAAAAGSGGTTTCCTCTGGACTATTGATTTCCAGCCAGAAGATCCTCCCTCAGATGATACTGTATCTTGAAGGGATTGTGTGGATATCCACTCTGATCATCAACATTAGGACTGGTCAACTTAATCCTATATAAAAATCATCACAAGATTGAGGTTAGCCACCATTCCTAGAATAGCATTGATCTCTGTAGCCCCACTGACAGACCTAATCCATACTTCACCATTGCTTTTAATTTTAATTAGTGTAAGGTGCAGGGCTGGTTTTCAAGGCAGGTAATCTTATCCTGACCATCCCTTCTTTAGTACCTTGTGTGCTGGAATATTCCAGAAAGGTCTTGATGCTGGGCTTCAGAGCAGTCATAGCATGAAGTATTGCCAGCAGTGTTCAAGCTAGAATGCCCAGCTCTCTTCTAAGGCTTTCAATATCAGAGACACAAAGATTCTAGTATCTGTGGCCAAATCTATGAAAAGAGGGTGTGAGTTTGAGACGGATGCTATTTTTGCCAATATATACCTTTAATGAGCACAGACAATGGTAGCAAATTGATGAAAAGAGATTATCAGTGGTAAAGATATTTAATAAGTACAGTGTTATATCCTTTTAGATTGATAAGAGATTCCTACCTCGAACTGGCCTTATGGTATTTGTATCTGAAGAAGCCAAAGAGAAAGAGTTCAGCAACACCATTAGCACTCAAGGTAATAGTCAATTGTTTTAGAAATCATAAGTTAATTGCCTTTTGTCTTGCTATTTTAGTAACACTGTGCTATTGAAATAATGAGGCATTTTCCTGTGTGACTTGGAGAAATTAATTCATTACTTTATAGTCACATTTGTATTTATATGTCTCTTTGGACATTTTATGTGGGGTTCTGGAAATTGATTTCATTTAGATGTTTTTGCTTGTGAAAATGTTATACATGTAGATACTCTAAAGCAGCTAGTCATTAGTACGGATCAGAATATTGCAGGAGATGATATATTGGCTAACGAAACGGACAAGTAAGGTTTTCACTACTAACACAGCCTATAAGCAGCTAACCTCTAGAGTCATTCGTTCATTCACTCGTCAAGTACCTATGAGCACCTACTGTGGCCCCAGAACTATTCTAGAGGAAGGTGACAAAGCAGTGCTCTAGATGAGTCCAGTCCCTCCCTCATGCAGCTTGCCACTCATGAAACAGAGCCAGTGAAGGAAGAAAGTCAGAGGGAGGAGGCTGGGAGGGACCAAGGAAGGAAGAGGGACAGGGAGAGTGACTTAGGGAGTAAAATTTAGGGTTAGAAAATAACTTGGGTTTGTGGGGTTGTAAATAAATGTGGCCAGAAGATGTGATGTCCCAGGTGGGATTGGATGGATAAGGAGGGAGCCCTGCAAAGAATTGCCAAGGAATGTGCCTCCTAGAGCAGTATTCTCGCAAACTAAGGTATGGAAACATCTTTGAAAGTCTTAGGAAAATGCAGATTCTGATTCAGGAAGTCAGAGATGAGGCCTGAGGTTTGGTGTTTCTAACAAACTCCCAGGTAATACCGATGCTGGTGGTCTTGGGCTACACTTGAGTATTAAGGGTCTAGACTGAGGGAGATCCTAGAGGAAGGAGTCAACCCAGGCAGCTTTGAGGTGTATGAGCTCAGTCATTTTACTTTTTAAATTTCAATAGAGGATCATCCTTACTTAATAATCACTTGACTCCCCAAAGAGATCTTTGCAGAAAATGTTGGTATCAAGTCTCTAATTTGGGGGACAGCATAAACATGATTTAAAACCTTTAGGCAGGTAGACTCTCAGTTGAATTATTTATATGGTAGTTGCCTTATGTGGATGGCACCTATTTTTTTTAAATTAAAATAATTACATACTAGAAAAAGTTACTTTTTGTGGTATGATAAACATGTTTATTTCCAGTAAGAGAATAAATATTTTGTTTCCATAGCAAGTGGCAATACAAATTAATATGATGGTACGATAATAACATACCACATTTTTTAGCCCATACTAGAGAAGTTCTTAAAATTAAGAGCATAAATAAGTTAGGATTTGAATGAAAAGAGTAGTGATTCCATATAATATTATTATTATTTTCTATATATCTTGACACAGAATAAACATTTTAGCAAGTCTCATGAAGCACAGAAGACAGCCAAAAACAAATAGAAACATTTCATTCAGACATACAAGACCATTGAAATAAAGCATTTGAAATTTGTCCAAATAAAGACAACACTATGAATCCTTAAGAAACATTGTTTTTTCACTTTTGTGAACTGTCCATATCATGCAGTTTGGGGTCTGAACCCCAGCTTCCTGACATACCCCTGATGTGATTGGGGCCTTTCCATTCCTGGTTTCTTCACCTCTGAAATAGAGATGATGGATGGCATGTGCCTCTTAGAGAGGTCAGGAGAATAAACAAGGTTAATTGCCTTGCACACAATAAACACTCAAAAAATGAAACTATTATCTCTTGTTATATAATTTCAGCCAAACATYTACATTCTTTCTAAAAGTATTTTTTGCATAGTATGTGTTTAATAATTATCTGTTAGGTTGAATTTACTAGTTCTGCAATATTCATTTATTCATTTGTCAACCAAACACTTATTGAGGTCTTCATATGTCAGGCACATTGCTGTCTTTCCCCAAGGAGCACAGAATCTGGCAAGGAAGAGGCAAAATTGTACTGCAATGTGATAAGGACTGTAAACACAATATGTCAAGGTGGCAAAGTCAGGCAATGTAATTCTGCTTTGGGGGAATGCTGGAGAAGGTTTCCAAGATGAGATGAATTTTTGAAGAATGAGTGGAATTTTCCAAGTAGTTAAGTGGGAGAAAAATAGTTCAGAGAGATCAGCATGCATACTTTTAAAAAAGACTTAATTGACATACAATTTCCATCCATGAAACTAACCTATTTTAGGACTCCAGTTTACAGGGTTGCACAGCTGTTATCCCCATCCAGTTTTAGAACATCTCCACCATCCCCAAAATGATCCCTTATGCCCATTTGCAGTCAATCCTTCTCCTACCCCAGCCCCATACAACCACAAAACTATTTGCCTTTCACAGACATTTACTATAAATGGAATCCTACAAGGTATCCTGTTTTGTGCCTGCTTCTTTCACCTCATATAATGTTTTTGAGGTTCACCCATGTATAGCTTGTAACAAGTTTATTCCTTTTTACTGTCAATAGTATTCTATTATATAGAGAGACTGTTTTCTTATCAATTTGACAGTTGGTGGACACTTGAATTGTTTTATTTATTTATTTTTTTGTCTGTTAGGCTTAATGTTGCTTTGACTTTATCTTCACCTTTCAGCATGGAGGTACTCTTTCTGTTCTCTTGGTATATATCTAAGAGTGGAATTGTTGGATCAGATGGAAGCTATAGATTTAGCCATTTCATGATCTTTCAGATCATTTTCCAAAGTGACTGCCCCATTTGGCATTCCTACCAGCAGAGTATAAGGGCGTCCATTTCTCTATACCCCTGGTAACACTTTTTATTCACCTTTGTGATGGTGCCATCCTGGTGGGTATGAGGTGGTATCTCTATGGTTTTGTCCCTATGGCTAATGATGCTGAGATCCTTTTATGTGCTTATTGTCAATTTGCTGTCTTCTTTGGAGAAGCGTCTATTTCAGATCCTTTGCCCATTTTTTACATTTGGGTCATTGGTCTTTTTTATCATTGAGTTGTCAAGGGCGTATCTTTTTTCTAGATAAAAGTCTTTTATCAATACATGATTTGCAAAATATTTTCTCCCAGATGGTGGCTTGTATTTTCATATAGCTAATAGTGCTTTTGGAGACATAAAAGTTTTTAGTTTTAATGAGGTTAGATTTATCTTTATTTTTCTTTAGCTGATTGTGCTTTTGGCGGCACATCTAAGATCTCTAAGTCTACCTTAAAGTTGCATTGATCTACCTTTATGGGGTTATTCACTGCCTTTGTTACTGTAGCTTTTAGTAAGTTTTTAAATTGGAGAGTGCATGTCCTCCAACTAATTATGTTTTTCCTTTTCAAAATTGTCTTAGTTAATTTGAGTCCTGTGCATTTTCATACACATTTTAGGATCTGCTTATCAATTTCTGCAAAACAACAAAACAAATAGGATCTTTGGGATCTTTCTTTGTTTTCTTTTGTGTTGAGTCTATTAACTCTTCTAATTCATGAATATGAATTGTCTCTTCATTTATTTAGAACTTATTTAATTTCTCTGAACATGGGTTTTACTTTTTAGCACAAAGTCTTATACATGTTTATTAAGTTTACTTCTATTATGAATGGACTTTTTAGGATTTTCATTTTCAGATTGTTTATAGCTAGTGTATAGAATATAGAAATATAGTTGTCTTGTGTGTATTGTTGCATTTCATATCTTGTGACCTTGATTCTATTGTTATGTGTGTGTACTAGAATTTTCTACAAATAAGAACATGTCTTCTGCAAAGACACTTTACTTCCTTTCCAAACTACTTGTTTTTTTCCCTTTTTCTGTCATATTTATGTGAGCTGACCCCTATCCATCTAAAAAATTCCCACCACATTCTTTCCCAGTCCAGTTTTTCCAGCCTTAGCTCAAGCCCAACCTCCTTATTGAAGCTTTCCTCTCAAGTAAGAAGGGCCTTTTTTKTTGTTGTTGTTCCTTTTCAAATTGCCTGGGTCCCTAATTGTCCTCACATTATAGTTATTTAGTGTTATTCTGTATTCTTTGTTTCATGCCTATTAGCCTTGTTTCCAGAATTAAGTTTATATAGTTTATATAGCCAGTTTATATAGCCAGTAAGCTGGCAGTTGCTACCCCAGAGTGTAAGTAGTTCCACTCAGCTAGTGTTTAGGGTCTGCTTATCTTGGAACAGGGCTGTATTGCTTGATCTCCCACAGGCAGATCTGTCTGCTCCCTTCCTCCTCTAAGCCCAACACTTGATTACATAGCCCCATTAACACCTTGTGCTCACTGCTTAGAGCCATAGTAGCCATTGCCTTTCTTTTTTTTAAATATATGTGTTTGTGTGTGTGTGTGTATGAACCTGAAAGAGGGTGTATGTGTGTATAGACAGTTATATAGATATATACYCATAGTAAAAAATGTTCCCATTCATTGCTTCTTTTTTGATAGTCTATGGAACTTTATAATAGTGCCCTTTTAACATTTTCCTGGTTAGAAAATTATAGCACATACTTATCAAAAACTTATGAGTAACATTCCCATTTCTGGCACATTTACCCACAGTGTACTCAATCTACAGACCCTCTATTAAAACAGCATTTGATTTTACTTAAAGTGAAATTTTTATTTGTATATTACACAAACAATGCAAGTTCATTATAAAAAAATTAGAAAAATTGTAAAATTAATTTAATCAAACTTAAAAGTTGGAATAATCATTGTTAATAATTTTCTCAGCTTATATGTACAGGGAATATGTGTGTGTGTGTGTGTGTGTGTGTGTGTGCAATTTTGTAATTTTTTTCCTTTCCTTATAGATTTTAATATCTTTTATAGATACATTATTATTTTTAATGGTTATATAGTTAATTCAACCAAAATGTCATCTTTAGATGATGAGATTTATCAAGAAACTTTATGATGTATTTATATTTCATAAAACATTTTTAATGTTTTTAGCTTCTTTTCAGAAGGCATAGTTCTATTAAGGAATCAACAATAGATATAATAGAAATATACAATTCACTGGTCTGGATTGCAATAAGGGCTGCGGCACAGGTTGGTGTGATTCTTATTTAATTTTTCTTATTACCATCATATTGTTATTCTCCTATTTGCTATTAAGGCAGSACAATGTATCTAAGAGAAAAGAAATTTTCACATTCTTTGGGATTTGTGTCAATTATGCTTATTTGGAAAGATTAGAAATACTCTATAGTGTATAGTGTTTTTAATCTATGTGGTAATTTTTCTTTAATGAAAATATTGGTGTATACACATATATGCATACTGTCATGTTGGCAAATATATTCCGTAGGCAGGTGAGGTAGATTGTATAAAGTACTTATACATTAATTAAATTGTTTATTTGACTGTTAATTTACAATAAACAGAAATTTACTGACTCATAGTTCTGAAGGCAGGGAAGTCCAAGATTAAGGGACCAGCATCTTTCAAGGGCTTTCTTGCTACATCATCCCATGGTGGAAGGCAGAAAAGCCAGAGAGAGAGGACAACCCACTCAGATGATTGCTGCATTGATCCATTCATGAGGGCAGAGCTCTCATGGCCTAATCTCCTCCTAAACGTCCTACCTCCTAATACCGCCACATTGGGGATCTAGTTTCCAATGCACATGAACTTAGGGGGACACATTCAATCCATAGCATTTACCTATTGGATGATATATGAATCAGAAAACTTATCTTTGTGAATTCTAATTTATCTATTAATTGTAGGTCAGTGAAGCTGTGCTAGCAATTAACCTACTTATTGGAAAGAAGAATGCTAGAACTGACGAAGTCAATCAAATGGTATTGCCAAATATCCCAGAGTTTGCCACTGTGGACATTTTGTCTTCATACACAGATTATTTGCTTGGTATGTTTGAATGTCTACATATTTTACAAAAACCTGATATATGTAATATGTAAACAAGTTCTGAAAACTTAATTGTGTTTTGTTGGCTTTTAGCTTATAAGGATCATGGTTTGAGGAGCCTCCTGGGATGGGTAGGGGTCCTAGGGCCAGCTTCCAAAAGAGAGGGCTGTTTGTTCACTGCACCTGTGCACAAGTCACTCAACTTGGATGGCTCTGTGAAAAAGTGGTATTTCTTAATATTTGCTTATTTTACAGTTCACGTGTCAAGGGGGACCTTTGGGGAATGTTTGCTTGAAGGGCCTTCCCCGATCCTCTATCTAAAATGCATGTTCACTCTCACTCTCACGTGACTCATTATTCTTTTCCTTAGATATTTCACATTTACGTATACATTCAAGGATGTGTTTGATCTCCTTCATTCATTAATTATCATCAGCTTCCTGATGTTTAGTTACCATCTACAACAAATTATACAGTTGCTTGCACAGAGCGGGCATCCAGTGTTAATAGTTGTTAAGTGAATTAGTGAATGAGAGGTTAGCAGAATTTAAACTTGACCTAACTACTATTTTTATTTTTGCTTCTTTTTGACTTCCTTGTTGTTTTGTAAACTCTAATATATATCTCTAAGTTAGATCAGCAATAACATAAATATATATCATTCATTTACATGTTTGTCCACTCACTCCTTCAAAAAATATTCATTAAGGGCTTCTTGTGTGCTAAGCACTTGAATAAGTGCTAAGAACTAAGGTGCTAAAGTCTAGCTTTGAGATGGACTTTTCTGTAACATTAATACCTGATTTTGTTTGGCATGAGCTGAGCATTGAGCCAAAGGAGATGAAGATTTTTCCCTTTAACCTGAGGGGGTGGCAGTGGCCTTCCAAACCTTCTGAAACCACATCTGTAAGTGACAGTTTACTTGGCCAAAGGGTCAACCTCCACTGAAGAGTTACCATCTGAAATTTCCCCCTTCCTAAACTCTTCTCTGAAGAACAGGGGACTAGAACTGTTTTTCAACCTAGGAATTGCCTGAGGTCAAACCATCAGATAGACTTTTTATAGTAAGGCTTCGTTTTTATATTTGTGTTTCCTTTATGCCTGGTAGCATTTTATTTCATCAGGCTTCTGGGCCATCATCTAACTTCACATGGAGTGCTCGCTCTTCCTTAGAGTCCCCACACTTGGGTTCTCTAGAGATAAAGCCATTGATCTGGTGCAGAGCCGCCCTGCAACCAGGAGGAACTGGTCATGACCTTTTTTGCTTGACACTGCCTGGAAGCTCATCTCTCCCAGGTTCCCGGTGCATCTCTCATAATCACACATTTATTGTTTTGTTACAAAAAGAATACAGTATTCATAATCAAGAGATCTCAATTGGAATCCTTGTTCTGTCAAATCTTTTAATTTCTTGCAGCCTTATTGGGAGACGGGGCAATTTTTAAACTAAACTTTTAAGACAATGCCTCTAAGCTTCCTCCATAGCTATTTATTCTTCATAACAGCGCTTTATTAATCCTGGAAGATGTATCTACTGTATTCTAGTCATTTTCTTCTGCTCTACCAGTTTTTAGGACAGAGATAAAAAAATAAGTCTCATCTAAGATGGATCCTAAACTCAGTGACTGTCAACAAGAAGAATTGATTCGTATACTCAAATGTTCTGCTGCAGCCTGCAGTCGGGCTCAGGTGGACTTCATGTACAGTTGTTGTGAGGCCCAAGCTAAAGAGACAGTGGCCGCCTGGAGCATGCTCTTCTCATGGCACATGCCAGGGCCAAAGAGCCACGAGCCAAATCACTCAGGAACATTGAAGGCCTCTATTCCTATCCTTTCCTATTGGTATAGTAAGTCATGTGGTCAAGTCCGATATGAAAGAGGGAGGGAAATATACTCTGCTTGTAGAGCAGGGAGAAGGGTGTGAATGGTTACTGAATGATGATCTAACCACCAAACATGATGAGTTTAGTCTATGACTAGTGGCTGCCTGAGCAGAATTCTGAACCTCTGCATGGAAAGTCAGGAAAAAGGTGCTGCCATGATCAATTAACGATGTCATCTATGGGCACACCACGGAGAATGGCATCCTTTAAACCAAATGATGGTAGCTGATTCAGCTGAGTAATCTTCATCTCAGTTTAATACTAGAAATTATGCTTTCTTGTTCCATTTTAGTGGCTTTCCTAGCATATTCCATATTTTCCCCCATTTCCATTTTGTACCATTACCACTACTTTACTATTTAAACTATGAAATTATGAAATGTTAAAGTCAAATCTATTTTGCATTTTGCCTTGCCTAAAGAATAATAATTTTGCCCTCCAGTCTTTTCCTGGCAGGCTGATAATTAATGCATGTTGATGGCTTTCCTCTCTTCAGTGTTTGGGTTGGATGGAGGTTCTGAATTCCCACCTGATGGCCACAGATACACAGATGTCAGTGGAGTTCGTATCATAATGAATTGCCAGCGGGGAGAATCTCTTAACAACAACAAACAAAACTTGTTTAATTTTCTTGGCATTAACATAAATTATCATCCAGAATAAACCTTCTCACCAATCTTAGCTTTAAACAATATTAGCATTGATCTATACATGAGGTGGTGAACAAATTCATTGTTACTCTTTACAAAGTACTGCATCTACTGGATCAGATATTTCTTTCTTTCTTTTTTTTTTTCTTGCTTGCTTTTTCCTTTGTCTTTTTTGATCCTGGGGAGTGAACTCAGGGACTCATGCTTACTACCCACATACTGTCCCACTAAGCTATATATAACCCCCGTCCTGTACTAGATGCTTTGGTCAAGAGGGAAGGAGTCAGAAAACACATCAAGGAGGCAGGGTCTTGCCTTCCATGAGCTTCTGGTCATGGACAATTAGAACATGAGTACACATTGAAGTCACATAAATTCATCTCTCAAGAGGACCATCTTAGTGAAGGCAGAATTAACATATGCCTTTGAGGAGATTGGACACAGGCCGGATGGCATGAAGAGAGTTCCTTAGAAACATAGTTTTCTAGGAGAAGTGGATTGTGGGGCAGATGTAAATTGACATGAAGTACCAGAAATGAGGTGTTTAGTCAGCTTTTTCATTGCTATGACCAAAAGACCTGACTARAAAAAATTTTAGAGGAGGAATAGTTTATTTTGGGCTCCCGGTTTTGGAGGTCTCAGCCCATAGGTGGCCTACTCCTTTGCTCTGTGCTGAGCTGCAGCAGAATATCATGGCAGAAAGGTGTAGTGGAGAAAAGAAGCTCAGAACATGACAGGCAGGAAGGATAGACCCCTCTAAACCATAGACAAAACATAAACCCTAAAGGCTCACCCTCAGTGACCCCCCTTCTTCATCCACAGCCTACCTGCCTACAGTTACCACCCAGTTAATCCCTACCAGTTGAAAAATGCACTGATTAAGTTAAGGCTCTCACAACCTAATCATTTCATCTCTGAAATTTCTTGCATTCTCTCACACATGAGCTTTTGGGGGACACCACATATCTAAACTACAACAGGAAGGGAAGCAAACATTTTCAGCAGAGAAATTCATGACCAGAAGCATGATGACACAATAGACTAGTCATATGTGGAGAATGGACTGTATATCATCTAGCCAGAACCTGAAAGTAATCTGTAGAACAATAAAAGAATCCAGTGATTCACTGGTCCAGTTTTCAAGTATTCTTTACATTGTCTTAGAAAAACAGAGACTGTGAAATGATCTCTGGAAGTATGAGACCATATTTAGATTCATTGCAAAAAAAAATTTATCAGATGCCTACTTTGCAGTTATATTCAAGTATAAACAATTCTTTTGTCTTGGTTTTCTTGTGGCCTTACTAAAAAATTCATCTGGGATAAAAATTATTAAATTCTGCATTTTGGATTGGAGGTCTCAGATGCAACCTCTTGCAACTAAATACACACAATTCACAGAAAAATATAAATGCATGTCATGCTAAAAATTAATGTTGGCGAACCTATTGTCAGAATACAAACAGATATATGGAGTGGAACTGAGAATCACTATTGACCCTTAATATGTGTTTTGTCTCTTGAAATAGAGCAAATCTAACCTTAAAAATTATGATTTATTTCTCCTTTACCACTTGCCCCTGGTTCAGAGACATGGGCTCAATGCCTCTGATATCTCCCATTTTTCTATTCCCCTAAGATACAGTTCCCCATAGTAACAGGCAACTAGAGTGATAAATTAATTAAATCCCAAATAATTACATCACTTTTATGTGGGGATGAAGGAAAATCACCTGTGCTAGCAGTTGTGATGTTAATAGCATGTGTGTATGTGTGGGTGTATGTGTGTATACTATATCAGTTCAGAGTATCATAGGTGAAACTATTCAGTTCTGATTAGATCCAGCCTCATCAAAACAGAGCTTCTCAATCCAATGTCTGCAAAAGTCCTAGAAATTCCACTCAGAGATATCCACATCCATCCCTTAAATCCAAGAAGAGATAGTGCAATGACCAAGGAAAAGAATGCATGCACATTCTTAGCAATTTCCTTGAACTAAGTATGAAGCAACTTTTCTTCATTCCAGGCAGAGTCACCCATACAAAACAAGAAACAACAATGGCACTTGTGAGAAAATAATTTCAAGTGAGGGCAATGGAATGCTATCCTGAAGATGGAGAGGAAGATTTTTCCTTTGGGGAATAAAAAGAAACATATCAGGGTTTTTGACCCCTTAGTAGGGCCTCAGCAGTCAATGACTGACACAACAGTAGAAAGCCAGAATGCAAGAGGTACTGGGATGAATAGCATCTAGTGCTCTTTGAGGGTGATTTCTTGCTTGATTTCACTTATTCTTTAGGRAAATCCTCTAAGAGTGTCATTATGCACATCTATAAATGAGACAAGGGGCTCAGAGAAGTTATGTAACTTGAACGATATTTAATTGCCAATACAAACCCTTGTCTATCCAATTCTGAAGACTGTGACATTGATCATTATGTTGGGTGTGATTAGAAAATGCAAGGAA